TCTTGCAATTATATGGTTTAGATCTTGGATTTAAATTGCTGAAACTTTAATCACTTTTCTGCAATGATATGGATTTGGTTTGGACTGTAAATTACTTGCTTATTATTTATATGTTGTAATTTATATGGATATGGAGGATCGTATGCACCGGTATGGGACGGTGACATACTAGGTATGGTTTAGCTCAAAACGCTAATTCCTACCTTATAGATTTTAATTGGTGAACAATTTTGCCTGTTCAATCAGTTATATGGATTTTGTGGATTGTATGCACCGGTATGGGATGGTGGCATACTAGGGACAAACTGATTCAAAATACTCAGTCCTACCTATTTTGGATTAAGGGTACGAATTATAAAAACATAATTCTCCTTATATTTAAGTCTGTGTGGTTGAATGAGCTGAACGATTTATTGGATCTCTTATATAAGTCTGTGCAGCTGAATAAGCCGAATGATTTATTGGATTTCCTATGGATGGATATGAATGGATTTTAAATATATTTTTATGGTACCACGAGGTGAGCTTGAGTCTCAGACTCGTTGGTTAAGGTGCGTATATGCAGTAGGATGCGTAGCTAACTATGTTGGTTGAGGTATACCCTGTTAGGCTTAGGTAGTCATGCCCACTCAGGTGCGTATTGCATGTTGCCATCTATTCAGGTTGAGACCCTCAGCATAGTTTAGTGAGAGTCTTGTAGTGTGGATATATATTTATCTATTACGGACTATATAGATATTGTTGAGATATTTAGGGTGTATCTGCGTATCGGGTCACTGTTTGGATTGCAGTTAGAGAAGAATTTGCATGTAGGCCTGACCCACTCTTATTTTTACAAGTGTTCGTTAGTTCCAATCTTACTGGATCGTGCTGAGCAGATACAGTCATTCACTCCATCGATAACTAGGATTTTATCTCATGTTTTAGACTTGGGTTTTAAATTTCAGTTGGGATTTTAGGGGTCCACTAAATGGATTCCCGAGTTGTATAATTTGGGGAACGATTTGTATTCGTGGAGGATCAGTTGTAATAGAATAGTTTTATTTATCAATGGAAATAATTATTATGAGGTTTCTATTATTGGATTGTCATTTTAGTTTTCATTTCAGCAAATTTTATTTATCTCTTTTGGTTTTAATGGTATTCTGTGTTCAATTATTGCTACTTAGTTTGATATCCTCGAGTAATCGGGCGTGGGCCTAGCCAAACCACATCTGGAGATCCAGGGGTATCACACTTATCTCCAATAAAACATAGGAACTAGCCAAGTCACCCATGGAGAAGAAAGCTCTTCATAACAAATGGGTGTACAGGGTGAAAGAGGAACATAATGGTTCCAAGAGATATAAGGCGAAAATGGTGGTCAAAGGCTTTCAGCAAAAGCAAGGCATTGACTACACAGATATTTTTTCCCTGGTTGTGAAACTGAGTACCATTCGCTCAGTTCTTAGCATTGTTGCAGGAGAAGGGTTGCACCTCGAGCAATTAGATGTCAAAACTGCTTTCCTCCATGGTGACCTTGAGAAGGAGATTTACATATAACAACCGGAGGGTTTCTCAATCAAAGGGAAAGAGAAACTAGTGTGCAAGTTGAAGAAAAGCTTATATGGTTTGAAGCAAGCCCCAAGACAGTGGTACAAGAAGTTTGATGGTTTTATGAAGTGACATAGCTACAACAAGTGCAACGCTGACCATTACTGCTACTTCAAGAGGTTTAAGTCAAGTTTCATTATCCTTCTACTTTATGTTGATGACATGTTAGTGGCAGGTTCTGATTTTGAAGAAATCAGCAAATTGAAGAAGCAGTTGTCTAGTGAATTCGAGATGAAGGATCTTGGTGCAGCGAAGCAGATTCTTGGGATGAGGATTAGCAGAGACAAACAGAAATGTGCTTTACAGTTGTCTCAGGCTGAGTACATTGAACGGGTTCTAAAGAGGTTCAACATGAATAATGCTAAGGCGGTGAGTACTCCGTTAGCTAATCATTCCGCTTATCTCAAGATCAGTGTCCGAAGACAGAAGATGAGAAAAACTTCATGGCTAAAATTCCATATGCCTCAGCCATTGGAAGTTTGATGTATGTCATGGTGTGCACAAGACCAGACATTGCATATGCAGTGGGAGTAGTAAGTAGGTTCATGAAGGATCTGGGCAAGCTACACTGGGAAGCAGTAAAGTAGATATTGAGATATCTACAAGGTACCACAGACAGATGTTTATGTTTCAGAAGGGGTGAAATGAAGCTACATGGTTATGTAGATTTAGACTTTGCTGGTGAGGTGGACCACAGAAGAAGTAATACCGGGTATGTGTTCATGGTGGGTACAACTGCAGTTAGTTGGGTTTCATAAATACAGAGGATTGTAGCGTTATCTACTACAGAAGTAGAGTATGTGGCGATGACAGAGGCTAGTAAAGAGATGATTTGGTTACAAGGTTTGTTGACAAAGTTGGGATTCGAATAGGAGAAGAATGTTTTGCACAGTGATAGTCAGAGTGCGATACATCTGGCAAAGAATTCAGCATTTCATTCAAAGACCAAGCATATAGGACTTCGGTATCACTTGATCAGATTTTTGTTAGAAGATGGGGTGTTGACACTTGAGAAAATACTTGGCACCAAGAATTCGGCTGACATATTGACCAAGACAGTGACTATGGAGAAACTGAAGTTGTGCACAACTTCAGTTGGTCTTCTAGCTTGAAGACAGAAAGAAACGCACCGACATGTATGGGACATGCATGAGAAGAAGATGGAATGGGTTTACAAGTGCTCCAGACTCCAAGTGGGAGATTGTTGTGGTTTTGTGGAGTCTGATTAGGTGGAAGATTTTTAGGAAGATTTAATTATATAGAAACTTCAAGAGTACTGAATTTTAGGGAAAATTCAGTTTCCTAATTGGTTTAAAGAAAATTCAGTTTCCTAATTTGATTTAATTTCCTTATTGGTTTTGGATTCTACAAAAGGCAAGTTCTTGTAGGACAAGTTTGAGACTCTATAAATAGGGGTGAAAGTTAGAGATAAAGGTGTGCCAATACAAGAGAGAGCAATTAAGAGAGATTGAGAGAGAATTCTCCTTGTAATTCTTCATCTTTTCAATAGTGAATTTGTTCGGTGTGCTCCATGGACGTAGCCCTAAGATTTGGGTGAACCATGTATATCTTGTGTTCTTGTGTGTGATTTTTTTTCTTTGTGATTGCTTGATTATTCCTCAAACAACGTGCGTTGTTATTTTGCGTTTCTGCCGCAACAACTGGAATCAAATTCGGTTGATTGTGTAGTGTAACTCCAGCAGTTGTGCCGAGATTTAAATGTTTCATTTAGTGTTTGGATATTTTGAAAGGCTTGGAGTGCCTTTGTTTTAGAGGTTAACTCATGGAGCCCTTTTATGGTGAATTCGTTAGCCTATCCCCTGTTTTGGGACTTTATTGAGGCTCCAATCCATTATTTGCCAATTCTTGGATGATTTTTGCATCTACTGCTTAAACTATCTAAAGTTTGGAAGCCCCTTTGGATTTGAATGGGGTCCTGGAAGGTGGATGTTGTTCTCCCGAAGTAAGATCCATCTCAATGAAGAAAGGCTATGTTTCAAGATTATAAGTGTGTTTTTTAAGGGTCTGAAATGGGAGCAACGTCTTGCTTTTACGATGGAGTGGATTAAATATGCTGAGACTACTATGATTGACACACTAGTTGGCCATGCCTCTGCAACTTCTTCCTTTCATGCTCTCCAGTTTGATATATATGTTCAATGTCTTCTGTAATCTTGTTATGTAATGGTATTTATTTACCGGGAAAAAAAAAATGTGGAGTCAACAAACCTTAAAGTTGACCATTTTGTCTTTGCCGAAGAGACTGTCAAAGATGGGGCTGACCTAGAAGGTATGCAATATTACAGTGTTTTTTTTAAAGGTTTTTGGATCTTCTAAGCACAATGGTGAGGTCCGTGAGTGAGTTTGACCATCAATGTGGAAAGTCAAGCTCGGGGTTGATCGTTCAGGTCTCGCAGAAGGGTTTGGTCAAAATAGGTGATGGAAAATGGTAAAGACCTCGGGGAGAGGTGTACCATAGGGTTTTTAGGTGTTCTGGACTCAATGATGAAGTCCATTTGTCATTTTGACAATCAAAGGATGGGACTGTAGTGTTAAATTCTAATTTTGACCTTTCCGGGGAATTGGTGATCGGGTGCCAAAAATTGTGTGATGTGGTCGATTGAAGTGTTTCCTATGGTTATGTGATGTTCTAAGTGTGATGGTGAAGTTCAATATCCGATCGAACGGTCCATTTCTCAATTTTCAGTTTTCTATCATAAGTGGGCCTTGCTAGTGAACTAGTTTCGGGAGATGAAAATGTTATTCCTTCTCAAGGTTTAAGAGATTGGTATAATAAAGAGGGAAGGCCAAAATGAGGTGTCTACACTAGCCATCTGTAGTTTGTTTTCTCCTCAAAATTTAACAATCTCAAATTTTGACTTGTTAATTTCCCCAACCAAGAAACAAGCTACCTAATCAATGTCAATTTTTCTAATCAAGCCAAATGTTAGTTGATGCTACTAATCCATGTCAATTTCTCTAGTCAAGCCAAATGTTAGTTGATCTCGAACTTGCCGGTTGTAAACATGATCCAATTTTCCCACGAGTGAACTGAGAAATGCTATAATACCCTACAGGTACGTACCCCCAATCACTAATAGTCGTTGAATTTGATAGTGAGACATGCCTAATGGATGATTCAATGGCTAATAGTGATAGAGAGTACATACCCGAGGAACCAAATTTTTATAGAAAATTAGTAGTGAATAATACCAATATATTTTCCACCTTTTTTTAGTTTCTTATTTCTTTCTTTCCTTCTTTTTTCCCAAAACTATTTCATTGGGGTTTTAGTAAATATGAATTCACTAATAGCACATTTTATCATCTTTTAAATCAGACGTAAAAGCCCCTTACCTACAATATCTTTTATAAATAAGTACTTAGATAACAAAATTATAGCTGAATTGGACATGGGAACACCAAATCTATTCTATCATTTACATTTGAATAATGATAGAGAGTCCGACACAAGGACAAATCCTACTACTAGTTTTATGTTGGTAAAAGTTGATTTCATCATGACATAAGAGATAAATGACATTATGATGACGTCAACCCCACTCGTATAAATTTGTCCAACTTTTAGACTCCAAATCATTAACATTTACATTTTATACAAAAGGAATTTTATCAGAGCTAACTGTATGATTTGTATCCCTTTATCCAAAAAGGTAAAGAATATATAAGGGTCCCCAAAACAAAAGAGGTAACAATTGTAATCAGGCCATATGCTTCTGCTCTCCATGTGTGCTTGCTTTCTACCAGTGCATGGAACTCAACAATGAAAGTGGAAACAGTACTTAGACAACCCAACAGCCCAAACTGTATACCATTTGCAACATTATCACAAGTCTTCGTATTCACCTATGTCAAACAAAATAAAATCTCTTCAAATTATGAGTCATGTTCATATTTGCAGGTAATAATATCATATGCCTTGATCATAGTGAAGTGCAGAAAACGGTTAAGATGCTGAACAGTAATTCGGAAAGAACGACCAACAAGCATGTTATTCAGATTTTTAATTATGAAAGAATTTATCTATATCCTATTCTATTGCAAGCTTATAGATTGTGTTGACAGTGCAACGTCGTCAATGGAAATATTTGGAATTTACCACTGTTTTCAGTATTGCGAGAGCTGCCATGACACAAGCTGCAAAAACATTGGCGATTAGAGTCCCAAAAGGAAACCATTTCAACAAGCCCGCTCTTCCTAAACCACGTCCATTGAGTCGGGATAACCACCACCTAATCCACACACCTAGTGGCCCAACCATGCAAGCCAACCACAGATGAGCTTCACTGCTGCCACTGTCAAACTCTTTGTTCAATAAAGTCCCAGTCACACCATATAATATGCCTAGCATCAGTACCAGCACCACTGTAACTGTCAAGTGGCGCTTGTAGTTGTCCACCTTCCAATTTCTTTTGGAGTTAGAGATGCCATGTTCCGGACTTGTGTTTAATCTTTTGAGAAGCCACCTGAAACCCTTGGCTGACCTGATCCCAATTCTCAAGGAAGCAACAACAAGAACTAAACCTGCAAAAAATATGATTCTACACTGAGTTGAATGACCAAGATAGGAATTTGTTAGTTGTTGAAAATCTGAGAGAGACCAAGCAGGAGATGAACCACATAATATTATAATTCACATCATGTACTTCATTTGTTGTACCCCCTCATATAAATTATTCTTGCAAAATGCTGGATTACCTACGACAAAGCCAAGGAAAACAAAATCCCATTGGCCTTCCACACTGAGATCAAGCATTTCCTGATTCCAGCCACTAAATGTTGTAAGGCTTCCTAAGTAACCAGTCGTCAGTCCAAGGGCTAAAAAATCTGAAACTTTTGCAATATCCCTTTTGAAAACAACGCCAAACCACCCCATCAAGAATGAACCAACCTAAAAGAATGAACATAATACTCATAAGAACAACTAAATTAGATATGGGTGAACTTAAGGCTACCAGATAGCTTACAAGCCCAATCCCAATTCCTAAGACAGTTTTTATCAGAACACCCAACCTGAAGCAAGCATTAACATGAGGTCCATATTATTGACCCAATCCTACTTGGATTGAGTGAGGTCACCATGAAGTGGCAGATTTAAGTTGCTAAGCTGACACAAGGCCAACATGCTACTGAGTTGAGGAGGCAAATCTAAGTGCCGGGAGAATTGATGCAAAAACCCTCTCATCAACTACCACAAAAATTTGTCAATGAATTAGATTTTAATCCAAATCCGATCTTATGACTCGGATATATATTGAAACATTCAATCCAATAATCTGTTAGCTAAACAAAGCGGATATGAATTAGGAACTGTAGATCCGATAATAGTATGATCCAATATAATATAATATATAATATGCTATAAATATATTATCTAATGCTATAATATATAATATTAACATATTATTAGAATGTTCTTTATCATTGTTATCATTATTATTAGAATGTTCTTTATCAATGTATTAGCATGGGCACAGTAGGTGTCTTAACATACTTCATAGAGTTATGAGTAAGTACATTCTTTCTGAGTATCTGTGAGCGTGCGTGCAGTGTGCATTCATGTTTCTGTGTGTGTGCATGCGAGAGAGAGAGACACACACAGAGAGAGACCATATTAGAAGGAAGATCAAGGTACATATAACTGTGGTTCCCTGTGGCAGGAACAATTCCAGCAGGACCAAACAGCTTCTGAAGTAGATATCTTGTCAAAACCTAAAAAAAGTTCCATGAAAAAATCAGCACCTTTGTGTATTCATACAGAAGCTACACAAACACACACAAATATACATATAAATTTAATATATGCACTAATTTCAATTCAGAACTGCAATCTTCAATCAATAAGAGTAATTCACCAGAATCTGAAATTTCTAAAGTCGCGAATTGCCAAGAACAAGAAAACTAATGCACATATATTGTGTTTGGATAATATAAAAATGCCAATATTAAAGCTTTAAAAGGCCATGAAGCTGAATAAGAACATCATATTCCATGCTAAAGTAAAATCTAGGGAAGATAACATACAGATGAACAACTTCAAATAACTGACCGTGTATAAACATGACAACAGAAGAATCATGGGCCATCCACAGATTTAAAAGCACAAATAAGCAGAGGGAAATGCTGAACAGATTACAAGTCAATGTGCATGGCTTGCTAAACGAAAAACAGAGACGCAGATAGAGAGAGAAAAAGAAAGAAAGAAAACATGAATATAAATACTCCTATGCCCCTAAAAAGAATAGGGGATGGAACAAGTATCTGCAATTAAAGAGTGCAATAACTTAATTCAACCCTAGTTTGATGACGAGCCTTGGTAACTTTTAGCAATCACCAAAATATGTTATATTTTAAGAGAAATGAAAATAAAATGAAGAAAAGGAAAACCAGAGAAGGGAGAAAAAAGAAAGAGTTTTCAAAACAAAGTGTGGCCTAAACAGATCAATGTGGAAGTTATTAACAATTATTCAAAATTCATAAGATACATTTTCAAATCATGAAAATTGTACACTATTAAGTGTGGGCTACATAGATCAATATATTTAGGGACTAAGAAGGGCACAACAAGTACCAAACTGATTTGGTAACAACTGGGATAACCCCACAGATCAATACATGTAGTGACCAAGAAGGGCATAACAAGTACCAAACTGATTTGGTAACAAATGGGATACCCAAATCATGTAATTCTTTCCTATGCCCTTCAAATAGCAACAATGAAAAAGTTGACATTTCCAGTAGTAGTTGCAATACCTCTTAGAACAAAAAAGCCCAGTTATGATTTGCTAACTATCAGTACAGCACTGGCATATAAAAAAAAATTTATAATATTTAATGACCAGGTATGTGGTGTTAGGACACAGAGAAGAACACATAATTATTAATTTAATTTTCTGATTATACATTGTTTCTTATGCTTTGGTATATTAAGATTCGTGAGAGTTCAGGCTAGAATGAGACTAACGTATTAAGTTCAAAACAAAATAGGCCTAGAGATGCCTCTCTTAGGAGAGGTGGTTATTTGGCTGCATGATTCTTAATTTTCCACAGATGACTCACTCCTTTGCATGTAAATGTGCGCCCATGACAACATGCTTCGAAAGATATGCATAACATTGCATTTCTCTATATATGAGAGGTCAATGCTTAGTGTAAGTAAAAGCTCAGATTGTCAAGAATGACAATGCAGGTTTCAGTCAAGGGACAATCAATTTGAGAAAAGAATTCCGTAAGTTAATTCTACCAAGCCAACCTTCCTAGCACCCTACATTCACGGGAATGAAACTAGGGAACGGCCTTTTTATAATTTTTCTATAGGCAAAGCCATTCTGATGGTGTCTCTCTTTCCTTCCATCATAGGTATGTTCTATCCCATGCTGAAGCTCAATACCTTGAGATGGATGTTTCTGCTAATGAAATTAGAAGTGTTGTGATAAGTTTCAAGCCTGACCAAGCCCCTGGTCCTGAAGGCTATCCAGCTAAGTTTTTCCAAACCTATTGGAGCACCATTTAGGAGGAGGTGGTTAAGGCAGTGAAACACTTTTTCTCTAATGCTATACATCCTATTGGAGTGTCTTCTGCTTTTATTACTCTGATCCAAAGAAAAATGACAGTTCAAAGGTTACTGATTATAGTACAATTACTTTGTGCAACCAGACTTATAAGATTATCACTAAAATTCTTGCCAAAGGCTCTATTTTGCCCAAGTAAGTTGGTAAGGAACAGTGTGCTTTTGTTAAAGATAGAAGGACCCAAGATAATCTTATTATAGCTCGAGTTAATCAGAGGCTTAAACTCTAAGCATCACCGAACTGTTGCCCTTAAGGTGGATATTAAAAAGGCTTATGGATTCTTTATACTTTAGTTACAAAGGTTTTTTCTACTATAGATTGTACTGAAGTGAACAGGGGTAGCCTTACTTTATCTAGAACTGCAAAGCGGGCAAAATTTCTCAATATGCTGATGACCTATTCCTTGTCTGTCATGCTAACGTTCATTCTGTGAAGATTATTACAAAGGTGTTTACAGAATTTTAGAACATGACTGGCATTGGAGTTAGCAGTGAAAAGAGTGTTGTTTACTCCGAAACTGTGAAGAGGAAAAGGCACTTGTTGAGGCTGCTGCAATTCAGAGAAGGTAATTTCCCGATTCCCTACCTGAGCATCCCACTGAATATGTATGGTTTGAGAAGGAATACCTGTTCTGCTCTTCTACACAAAGTTTTTAGAAAATAACTGCCTGGAACACTCACTTATTATCTCTATCTAGTAAGGTTTAGTTGGTTAGGTCTGTTGTTTATGCCATAGTTCAATGTTGGTGTTCAGCATACTCTGTATTTGTATCTATTGTTCAGCTTATTGAGAGGAATATTTATAAACTTCATATGGGGTAGTTCAGATATTACAAGGAAATTACACCTTCTGAGATGGAATGTTGTTTCTTCTACTAAGCAGGAAGGCGGATTTGGTTTGAGAAAGGTTTCTGATGTATCCTTGGCAGCTAAATGTTGTTTGTCTTGGGCCTATCTTCAAAGTAAGGACAGGATTTGGGCTGCATAGATGAAATCAAAATATTCAACTAATGTCCTTTTGGAATTGCACCCCTGCTGGCTCCAAATCTTTGGTTTGAAGGACATTCTTTCAACTAGAGATGTTCTAACCAGAAACATCACATACAGGATAGGTAATGGTGCTTCTATAAAACTGTTTGACGAACCTTGGTGTGCAGGTTAATCATTGAGGCAAATATTTGGTCACAGAATTTTCAGGCTTTTGCCCTTTGACAGAGATGCTTGTTTGAACGATTTAATTTCTCATGGTGCATGGAATTATACTTCAATTAATTCTGATGAACTTCAGAATTTTAGCAGTTTCTGTCCATTATTCATTTACATGTTGTGGATTGGTGGAAGGTTCTCTTTCAAGAGGGCATGGGATAAATGCAGATTGTCTACTTCGAGGGTTCAATGGGCTAATTTGGTTTGGAATAGGGGCAGGCCAAGGACATATTTCACTATTTGATTAATTCTTCATGACAGATTGCCTAACTTTTTCAATCTTATGAGAAGAGTTATGTGTGTTCCATCTATATGTCAACTCTGTTTTCATGGGGATGATTCTAGGGACCACTTGTTTTTTAATGCATCTATGCTCAAACTCTGTGGAATATTGGTTTGATAATTTGATAATATTGGCCGTTGTTGAACTGGTTCTCTTCAAATGGAATTGGTTCAGCCAAAGGTAAAGTTCGCAGAATGTTTTTTACTGCAGGTCTTCACGCTTTATGGATGGAAAGGAATGCAAGGCTGCATAAGGATTCCAAGAAAGAAGCTGATGAACTTGATAGGACAATTATAATTGAAATGCTTGAGGCTGCCAAGCTTAGATTGGATGATTTATGTCTTTTGATTTTTTTTTATTTCATATTTATGTCTTTGTGTTATTTTTACCTGTCATTTTATTTTAATAAAATCCATCCATTCAGGAATATATATCATGAACATTTCAAATACATCAACTTTTCAGGAGCACCATGAAATGCATGGTTTTTACCAAAAAGGTCGTTGAAACCCTTTGTTCTGTTCTGCTTTTATGTCAAGTTTGAGGATTATGGTTCTCATGCCATACGTCCTCAATCATGAAACTGTAGTAAAAGTGTTCCTACAACAACTTTTGCCAAACAAACCATAAATTCCTGACTCACTCCCCGCCCCTTCCTCCGAAACACAAATAAATAAACAAAACCTCAATATTCAATTGCGAGAACTGTATCATACTCCTGCACGATTTATCTTGCTTCCCTTTTTTTTTTTGTCCCTTGAATGGAAATGCTTGAAAATCATTGGAAAAATTGAAGTTCACTGATATTTTATTTTTTTTATAAGTAAGTTCACCATTATTAAACTTCAGTTATATACTATCATATGGCAAAGTACCTTTATTAGGGTCAGTACAGATTAAATTCAGTCTGTCATCAAATAATGCAGAAAAAGCAGAAATAAGGGTCAGTTAAGTTGCTGTAAGGAAAGTACCAAATATCCTGCTAGAAGAAAGAGCACAATAGTGATACAAGGACATCACCCGATGGCATTTGGGGTCCAAATGAAAATTGTGATGCAAATTGCAATGAAATTAAAATGTCCACTGCTAAAGAAAAGATCCGAAAATTAAAATTTTAGCATCATACCCCAAAAATCCCTAAAACGGCAAGATGAAGGAGGCATGAAATATACTCCAGCGCCCATGGCAGATCTTTCTTAGTCTCCTGCATAGAGAAACATGTCACACATGAGTACATATTACAGAAGAGCCAATTATAGAAGAGACAATTCTAAATAGTACAGTCTCTTTCACAACAATTTCCATCAAACCAAAAAAAAAATGTTGGATGATATCTCACTTGCTTTTCGTCACCAGATTGTCCGAGTGCATCGGTGGAAAGAGATGTGATCTCTGCTGGTAATGGCGATACAGGGGAGACGGTATTTGACACAGTGGGATCATACAAAACAACACCACCACTTTCTAATCCTTGTACATTTAAATTGGTGTCTGACTCATTATTCTCAAGATCCATAACCAAAATCCTTTTACAAGAGCTGCTGATGCTTTGTTCCTCCAGCAATGACAGTACAAGCATTAGCTACGGAACTGCATTGTTAAAAATTAACAAGACAACGTAACAATTGGAATGATGTGATCATTAGCAGTTCAAGCTATTTTCAGCTACTCCATTTATGAGAAAACTAACAAAAGTATAAAACTAACAGGTGATGCCACCAGCCGAAAATTTTGTAATATATATATGTACATATGGGAAAGTGTGTGATGATAATATAGATAGAGGTTACATCTAAAATCTGCCAATAAATGACATAGGAGGGATAAAATAGTTAAAATTATAAATAAAAAATCAATGATCAGATACAATGCATAACTAAACATTAAAATAGAGACAGCATGCAAACAGTCGTAGAGTTATGAAAAAAATAAAAGAACAATCCAACGGATACAATTTGATATATATATATATATATAATTTTTTTTTTTTCTGTTACTAAATTGTAATATACTAAAAAAAAAATAAAAAATAAAAAGTAGTAGTTTTCTCAGTGCCATAAGGTTAAAGCATTGAAAAATGTTCCTCAAGTCCTGAAATATGAGTTGGAATCTTACAGCAATAGATGTTATGAGTGCAAGTCACCTTTTAAATGTTGATGCAGCAAAATAGAACTTTTTCACTACTAAAGAAATGGTATTTCTTCAACTTTGTGGGCAGCACCTACTCGTCAAATTAGTACTATTTGTTGCCAAGAGAGAAATTTTGTGTCCTACAATCACAGCTCAACACGCTAGCAAAATAGAACTTTTTCACTACTAAAGAAATGGTATTTTCTTCAACTTTGTGGGCGGGCACCTACTCGTCAAATTGTATGCGTGTCAAATTGTGATCGATCGGAATCACATAATCCTCGACCATGTAGGCAAAAATAGTACAGTAACACCACAACCACTCTAAATGGGCGAAAGCAAAGTAGTAGAAAAACACCGCAACCACTCCAATCCAAATGGGTGTTAAAACAACTACCTTTGAATAAATTTATACAATTAAAACAAAGCAAATATTTGTTTTTTTTTTATTTTTAATTTTTTTTAAAGGTGAAGCAAGCACACACACCTGAGGATTCGAACCAGTTGCGCTATTGCCCATTTGGTAAAGCAAATATTTGTTGACACGAGAGAAGATGTGTAATCCACTCGAGAGGAATATAGGAAAACAAAAGAGTACAAAAACAACCACTCCAATCAAAATGGTGTCAAACCAATTGTCTCTTTTGCATATTTATCCAGTTGAAAATAAAAAAAATAAATGAGGGAACAGGTTTTAGAGAGAGAAAGTACCATGAATAGAAATCATCAGGACGTGATTGCAGCTCGAGGAAATTACGACTCAGAATTCAGAACGACTTCAAATCTCTTCTTGTTCAACCCGATCCAAGACCAGAGAGAAGCTTGTGTATTGTGGGTAAAAGTGTTTGTATGAGCAACAAAATAAGGAAAAAGCAAAACCCAAAAACGAATGGACCGAGGATGGAGGAGCTGAGCCTAGAACCACATTGAGAGCGTGATTTTGAAAACTATAGATATATATATATATAGTCACACATATTTGAAGTTAATAATAAAGACATTAATTAACGGGATTTTCTGTTGCGCTACGCCATTGCGATAAATAAATAAATAGGTCCAATTATGAGCATTCTTTCCGTACTGGCGAAACTGATGTCAACTGGAGTCGTTGTCGTTTGTGCGCCTGCACCATAATTGGGCCTTGTTTGATAAATAAATTAAAGTCACGAGTCGGCTTAACTTGATGGCGATTTCAAAACCTTCACTCCGCATCATAAAAATTGATGTTAAGAGCTGTGTACGTGTTTTTTAACTAATAAAAATAAATAAATAAATAATCATAAGTGGGCTCTATTTAGGATCAATATGTAATCGTTGCCATCCGTTTTAAATATGAGCTAACGATTTACTTATTGAACTTTAAAACTTAGCAAATTTAAGGTTTGGAGTTCGAATTCCATTGGGTGTTCTTTGTGGCCAGCCTCCGCTGTCCTTATAGTCACTTACCCGACTCGGGTGGAGAGATGCCCTTTCGAGTCCTCGAAAATTAGTCGAGTTGTTAGAAAATCCTAAGGTTTCGTGTCATTCCGGACATTCCGAATTAGCAATATATATATATATATATATATATATGTAATCGTAGCTGGGTGATTTGTTACCCCACGATACATAAGTGTTTATAAATAAAAATTTAATTATATTTTTTTAACTAGAACAATTATTTTGGGACATCCAAAAGAAGAAGTAAATATTTTTGTGAGGAACAATTATTTTGGGACATCCAAAAGAAGATGTAAATTTTTTTGTGAGGGGCAAAAGTAGTTTTATTTTGGACACTTGCTCACTTTTTGAACACATTTTTAACATAAATTTATCCGATAATCTTAAATATAATTTAATCACATTATGAAGCCGATCACTTTCTCTCTTTAAAAAAAAAAAATGACATTATACATATAATCACAAGTGCTGAAACATAAAATGATATTTGTTTATTTAAAACAAAAACACTGTTATGACAAAGTACTGAAATGATGCTATTATATGATATAAAAATTATTACAAAAATGATATAATTTCATTGTTTAAATCATTTCAAAGCAACTGTTAGTATAGAAACTATAACTAAATTAAAGTTTTATAATGGCTCCCCAAAGTCTTATAATATAGCTCACTTGTCTTTCGAAAATTCATTGAAAATTTCAAATAGCTACCCTTTCTTTCTTTCTTTTTTTCAAAACATATTAGCTCCAAAATAGAGAACTTGAAAATAAAATGTTCTTTCGGTCCTTTGAAACTTATAGAAAATTTCAGTTTTAACCATACTCTTGAAAGAACAAATCTTGTGAAACAAAATTTATGGTGGCCCTTAACTAAAAATATATTCTAATATTTTCAAGTGTCACCGACAATTTGTACGACTACTTCCTATACTAAAGTAGTAATTTTGTTTAGTTAAAATTATTTTGTTTTTTAATTAGGCCCGTTTGGGAACCACTTTTGCTTCGTCCTTTTGTTTTGACTTGAGTGTATTCAACACTATTTCAAAATTTATTTGGCAACGTAAATTTGTTACTAAATTTTTAAAAGCAAAAAGATAAAAGGATGTTTGGTAAAAAGTGTTGCAAATTATGAAAAATTGAATGATTAGTTAAAAATGTCATTTAAAATTTTTTTTATTATTATTAACAGTGCTGTGTTACCGTGTGGAAAAGTACATTAGCAAAGGTAAAAAATACTAAACAAAAGCTAGCATTAGTCGAACAGGCCCTTAATATTTCATCAAAGTAATAATAATATATATTTTTCATACCAAAATCAAAGTATTAAAAACGTTTTTTCAAAAATTAGATTTTTGAAAAATTGAAACAATTCCTTAATAAAAATTGATTTAAGGTTACCCCCCAAAAAAATAATAATAATTAATTTCATAGTTTCACCCTATTTACCCTCCTAACTTCATGTGTCCAAAACTATCACTGCCCATCCAACTTGTACGTATAGATATTGTCTCATCTCCGATGCTCATGATTTTTTCGTGAAATGCTCCTGGCTTGGCTTAACCCTCTTATTTGTGCACGGTGCTCCCATTTTTGGTTGGAATTAGCTCTAATATCATTTGTCATGACTCGTTCAACCTGCATATATATTTATTTTTCGTTTTGCATATTTTTCTTTCGATACTCATAATTGTTTTTTAAGAAATACATTTATATAATTAGGGAGCGTCTACGCAGAAGTCTCAATACATGGTGCATCACAAAAATCCTCTCTCACTATCTTTTCTTCTAACCTATTCTCAGTTATATGCAGATGATACCTTGGCCAAGGGTAATCTCGTCACAAAAAAATTCACATTCTTAATTTCCCAAGTTACCCCTCCTCTAATCCTTGGTTGTGCTAATGACACAAGCCAAAACAGGAATATTTTGAGAATGAAACTTGGACGATCATCATTTGCCACCCATGTCATTTCCATTTAGAAAATAAATAATTTTGGGTTGTCATTGGCCACCCTCCGCATCCCATTTCATTTAGAATATAAATAATTATCATACGGTTGTCATTTGTCACCCATGTCATTTCATGTAGAAAATAAATAGTAATTATCATTCAGCTGTGATTTGCCATCAGATGACATTTCATTTTATTTAGAAAATAAATAATTATCATATGGTTGTCATTTGCCACCCATGTTTGTTGTTTAAATACATTTTATTTTAAAAATAATAATTATCATTAGTTTAATAGGTCAAAATTAGTAATTAAGATATATTTAAAGAAAGCGTGCATGTGTATGCGGGGATGATGTTGAAAATTGTATGAATGCTGAATAGTGTGTGGTAAATGATCACATTGGGTACTTGGTCTTAATCATGCGTGAGAAGGAGATAAGATCTGATTTGGGATAAGCTACTTACAGAGTTATAGGTTTTCAATCCTACCAATCTAATCAACTATAATATATTAAAACTTAACCAAGTCATACTTGGAAGTCCTGTGGGAGTTTTTTTGTCACAAAAAAAAAAAAAAATTAATTAAATTAAACAATCTAATTCATCCTCTCCATTTCTGGATCAATCTAATTAACAATAATATATTGAAACTTAACCAAATTCATACAATTTTTTAGAAAGGAAACTTAGGAAAGGTAAAAAGTACGAGTCTTCCTAGTGCAGGTGTTTTTTGTCAAGAAAAAAATAATAATAATAAGCAACCTACTTAAAAAAATAAACAATTTAATTCGTACTCTCTATTTATGAAACAATAATATATCAAAACTGAACCAACTCATACTTTACCAATGTATGTTCTTCCGAAATGAAAGAGAAAAGGTTCGAGTCACCCTAGTGTGGGAGTTTTTTGTCAACAAAAAAAAAAAAAAAAAAAGAAAAAGGGAAAAAAAATGTATATAATTCATACACTCAGTTTCAAGAACAATCTAGTTAATAATAATATATCAAAACTTAACGAACTCAAACTTTACCAATGTCTATTATTCTGAAATGAAAGGTTGATGGTTCGAATTTTCCTACTGTGGGAGGATTTTTTTTCCCACCCCAATTCATACTCTCCATTTCTGGAACAAAAAAATACTACTTTTCGAACCAATTAGACAACTAAACGATCTAAACACCACCAAAACTCAAGTTTCTATGCATTTTTAAACTACTACATGCCCAACTCTTGGGTTAAATTAAAATACTACTTAATAACCTTATAGTTTTGCCATCTTTCTTTCTTTTCTTTTCTTTTTTTATTAGAAAGAAACTCACACACTCATTCTTCCCTATAGTGTCCCTATTTCAAGCACGGACCCAATATAGGCCTTGAAATTTTTTTATTAAAAACCGCCCCCACTCACATTCTTTTCTTCGTCCCTGCCCTATTTGAATTTGAACCATCACCAAATACCACTAAGCTACAATGCCATTGCTCAATCTAATTCTTTGAGTGCAATCTAATTAATATAACTTAGGATTTTATAGAAAATCATAATATATATATATATATATATATACATACATATATATAGTCTCTATACTCATTTAATTCTTCTTTTCATATTTGGATTTTTTTTTTTTTTGGTTCAAGTGCAAAAAACACCTCTATAGTATGCTTACAGTGCATATTGCACCCATTCCGTGCAAAAAACACCCCTAAACTATGACATTTGTGCAAATAGGTCCTATTTATAAAAATTAGACTAAAATGCCCTTAGCAACACATTTTATAATATATATATATATAATATTTTGCGAAATGACTAAAATATCCCTTAATTTATTGTAAATTTACAAATTTATATATATACAGATCCATATATATACATAAATATATATATATATATATATACACATATATATACACACACATCGCCGGAGAGGGAATGAGAGGTTGATGTTGACGTCGCCTAGGAGTGGAGGAGATAACGGGTTTGTGAATGGGAATCGGCGATATTCGGCAATGCGCGATGTCGGTGAGCAATGGGATCAACGCTTTCACCTTCTTCAACCCCTTTTTGTTAGGAATTGGAATGGGGAAGAAGTATAAAAATCCGGCGGTGTCTCCGGCGGATAACTGGGTTTTTTGGTCTTAGGTCTAATAATGTACATGTTAAACGGGTCTGTGAATAAGGGTTCATGAGTGGTCGAGTAGATGGCGAGATCGAAGAGTATTGCTTGGAGGACTCCGGCAGGACTGTTCGGCTGGTGATAAGCGCTGAATATTGCATATTCGAGCCCCTAAATATACGTATGTTAAGACTTTAAGTAATACTTCTATCCAGTTTTAGACTGATTTATGTTTATTTTGTGTTTGTAGGTACTTTCCCAAAGAACAAGTTAAAACCGTGATTTTATGATGAAAAGACTGATATTTAAGCTTATAGAGCCGTTGTCGGTCATCTAAAGCAAGCTTGGAGTAAAAATGATGAGAATTTTGGACCTACTTTAATATTTTGGGCATAACTCTTCACTCGAAACTCCAAATTGAGCAATTACAGCGGCTCTGGAAAGAAGACTCGAAGCCTAATGTTTTTGTCTCTAATAGCCATCTCCAAATTCGCACTCTAAATAGGCCAAAATCGCATAGGTTCGAGCCATGTTCTTGAAACTTGAGCCCTGTACCTAAAGCTCAAGCTTTAGGTACAAAAAGCTTGAGCCGGGAC